GGAGGCGGCGACAGCGACGAGGAGAACGGGGTCGAGCGACCGGAGATTGTGGCGAGCGTGGAGCGGGTTGAAGCGACCGAGGCGGCGCTTCTTGCGGCGCGAATCGCGGCGGAAGACGTGCGGGAGACGCGGAAGGGAAACAACCACCACTTCCGGCGAAGACCGCGCCGGAACCGCCAGCCGCGGGAAAGATGTACGCGTGTAAGACGGTGGATAAGATCTCAACGTGGAAGGCGGCGCGGCGACTCAGAAGCGGTTGTCTGCTCGCGATATAGAGGTGCGCGTTAGCGCGCTCAAGCACGAGATTAAGGTGCTCAAACACGTGGGTTATCATCCGAACATTGTGAAAGTTGTCGGAGTGTACAATAACGAGAAACGGTTGCGACTCGTTATGGAGCTGTGCGACGCGGGAGATCTGCTGGGGCTTCTAACGAATCCTCCCAAGAAACCGCAGGCGGAAGTTAATAACGGGGATAACGGTGCGAGTAAAGAGGGTGATTCTAACAAAGGAGCAGCAGGCAACGAGACCAAGCCTGAAGAGACCCGAGGGAAACCTTTCACCAAGATTTCGCAAATTTTTCAAAGGGCTGGCCAAGGGGACTACCGACCCAAAAACGGGGCTAACAGCAGGGGCTGCTAAGAACGGGGACAACAGCAGCAGCAGTGGCAGTGCACAGCCCGAAAAAATGCTACAAACGGGGCTGTCGGAACGGCAGACGGCTCTGATGTTCCGGCAGCTGGTAAAGGCTGTGGAGCACTGCCACTCGCGGCAGGTGATTCACCGTGACATCAAACTGGAAAACGTTCTGCTCAACCACTGCTGTTGCTGCAAATGCAAGCCTGCTGGCTCAGACGGAGGAGCACAGGAGAATGGAAACCAGCAGCAGCAGCAGCAAGGCGAGCCGTCTACCTGTTCGGGTTACGTCGTTAAGCTCGCGGATTTCGGCCTGGCGAAGCTGCTGCAGCCAACACAAGCCATGGCGAACGGCAACAAGGGCAGTCAGCTGTACAAGGCACCTGAGGTGGCGCAGAGCCGGTGGTATACCACCCAGGCGGACATGTGGTCTCTCGGCGTGGTGCTGTACGCTTTGCTAAGTGCGAGGTTTCCGCCGAGGGATGCCCAGGGGATGGTGGCGTGGGAAGCGGTTTCGGATCAGAGGTTGTTGTTTAAAGGGGGGAGCTGGAAGGAGGTGAGTGAGGAGGCGAAGGCGCTAGTGGGTGTGCTGCTGTCTTGGGATCCAAAGGGGAGGTTGGATTGTGGCGAGGTGTTCAATCACCCATGGCTGGTGCAGCACTGCAGATGAGACAGAGGAGAGGAGCGAGGGGAGATTGGTTGGAGTGGGAAGGAGCAGCGGCTGTATTGTGGCGAGGTGTTTTAACCACCCGTGGCTCGCGCAGCACTGTCGATGAGGGGGGAGAGGATGAGGGATGAGGCAATGTGGAGGAGAGAATGATGCAACAGGTGTAGAGGGTTAGACAGGCAGCTGCCTCACTTCACTTCATTTGCCTGCTGTGTCGTCTCTTCCTTCTCCCTGGAACCTTGAACAATCAGTACTGTGGTGAGTGCTGCAATAGCACTTGCCTTGCTTGATTTATACCTGATGTTTTTATTAATTTGAAGTGCACTGCATTACCGAACAAGTATGCTAGTAGTGTGACATAAACGACCCCACTTGAACCATGCTATACAATGAATAAATCCACCATGGGTGATGGTCTAGATTGAGAACAGGCCAGTGTTCACTGCATGCAGCCTGGTTGGGGAAGAGTAGAGACAGCTGGAGTGGGGGGGCTGAGTCAGGAAAGAGACAGGAGTGAGCATTGCATTGCCAGTACACTGCAGAATTCTCAAGAGCTGGACTGGGGGGTTGCTAGCTTTGCCGAAGGTCTGCTTATGTGCTGCACAACGGTAGAGGCTTGAGCAGACAGGGAGGACATGGAGGAACAGATGGAGCCGCCGTAGGGTGCAGCAGTCAGAGGGCTGCGGGGTGGGGTCAGCGACATTGAGAATTCTCAAAAACCAGCTTGGAGCAGACGAGGAGGACATGGAGAATCAGATGGAGCCGCAGAGTGCAGCAGGCAGAGGGCTGGGGGGGTGCTGGGGCCGGCACTTTTTAGGCGCCTTTTTAGACGGAAGTAGCCAGACGGAAGCAGCACGGGAGGATCAGGCGGGCTCTATGACGAGACTCCAGAGCCCCGTGAAGCTTAGCCTTGAGAATCGATTGCCTTGCGAGGGTATTGGGAGTTGAGAGTCTTAAAAGCAGCAGCAACGGTGGTTCAGACAGGCTCCGTGACGAGACGAGACACCAGAGCCATGTCTATTTTGTAGGAACCTTAAAATTCAGAGCGCCAGCTTGAGAATCATAAGATTGAGACTCCACAGCCTTGCGAAGCTGCACTTGAGCATCAGGTGTGGGGAGTGGGGAGTGACGGGCAGGGAGTGGGGGAGTAGGGAAAAGAAGTGGGAAAAATGCTTGTTTTGGGGGACTCGCAAATAGCTTAGGGAAGGTGGAGAGAAAGTGGAGAGTGCGGAGAGAGAGGAGGCACACAAACGTACACTTACCTCTTCAAATACTCCTCTTTGAGTTCTCGCTAGTTAATTTGTCAAGCTTTCGCCCCAAGAGCTCTGAGAAGCTCAGCCTGAGCTTCGGGGCAGAAGGCAGATGCGCTGCGGCGAGCGCAGGGCAGGCAGAAGCGCTGCGAGAAGAAGAAGCTGCAGGCAGGCGAGCAGCACACAGGGGCGCGGCAGAGGGGAGAGAGGAGAGAGAGGAGGGAGAGGAGAGAGAGGAGGGAGAGGAAAGAGAGGAGAGAGAGGAGAAAGGGGACAGAGGAGGCAGACTTTCTCTTACCTCTTTGAATACCCGCTCCTTTATTCGTCAAGCTTTCGTGCCAAGCGCTTTGAGCAGCTCTGCCTGAGCCTCGGGGCAGAAGGCAGACGCGTTGCGGCGAGCGCAGGGCAGGCAGAAGCGCTGCGAGAAGAAGAAGCTGCAGGCAGGCGAGCAGCACACGGAGGCGCGGCAGATGGAGCAGGCAGATCCGAGGAAGAACGCGCGACTTGGATGGGACGAGCCACACCCGAATGGATCCCGGCAGATGTAGCCGTCCTCGAGAAACCTGGCGGGGGTATCACCAATGATCATTACCAGGAACGGACATTGAGCCAGAGGCAGAGGCGGAGTCAGGAAATAAGACAGGAACAAACATTGAGCCGCACTCGAATGGATCCCGGCAGATGTAGCCGTCCTCGAGGAACCTGGTGTCACCGGGATGAGTATCACCACACCAGGAACGGAGGTTCGTACCAAGCCAAGAATGAAGGTTAGGATTTAGGACATAAAGCAGGCAGATGTAGCCGTCCTCGAGGAACCTGGTATCAGCAGGAAAGGGCATCACCGGGAACGGAAGTTACAAGTAAGCAGCGCACGCATTGAGAACACTTACGCGATCTGCGGTGCGAATGGCGGCCGCCGGCCCAGGTAGTCGTAACGCGCTTCGAGTTTGCACAGCGTGCACGTGAAGATGGTTTCGCGGGACTTTTCGACCGTCGTTCGGTCCACATCAGAAGATTCCATGATCGCAGTCCGTACAAAGAAACGGGACCCGTGCGAAGAGGCGGAGCGGGAACCAAACGAAGAACAAAAGCAGCTGCAATGAGCACTCGTTCACATCGAGATGCTCCAACTGGGTCTTGCGAGGATCGCTTTCTCCAAATCCCTATCTACCACGACCAAGTCGATCGCCATGGCGTCATCCGCTCTCTCCAACGCTCACGCGTGTCCGAGCATTTCCGCTCCATAACGAGATTGAAAAAAACAAGCAGAAGCTAAGGTCCTTGTACACGTTTCCAGCAAAATCGTTAACCCCTTTAAACAAGATTGGATGATTTGCTCATGTGTAAAGTTTGTTTCAGAACTCGACTCTTATTAGAACAGTTCATTCAGATACGCAGCTCCGCTATCGCCACTAGATTTGGGATGTTTTTTTCACTAAATTCACTAGCTTCGGCAAGCTGGCAACAGAAATGAGCTTCTTTGCCACGCTGGAAGTCAAGCCGTTCATCAAAATTCCATTCACGCTACCCAGGGCAGGCATCACGCTATGATTGGCTAATGGCCCATTGACTGTCTCGTCAGCAAAGCCAGCACTTTCAGTTCTTCCAAATAGATTTGTAACCGTACGTGAGAGCTTTGAAAACAACTGAACCGCGCAAATCACAATCACACAAGACCCGCAAATTTTGCTACTCTGTGCTGTACAAACCGAGCCGTGATGCTGTCCCGTTGAGTGGAGCACGGCAGCAGCCAGGGCACTGGGGGCCAAGACACAATGCCTGCCCAACCATGGCTCGTTCTGGGCCACGGGGCAGAACGAAAGCAAAGAACTCAACTGAAGTCGTGCCGCGTCTCTTGTTTCATTTCAAATTCCTCCAACGCTCTCTGCTTCCACCAACACCCGTCTCACACTTGTCAAGTTGGAAACAGACACTAGGTTTCCACTCCCACGGCTTCGAGTTCTTTCCAGTTCCTATTGACGAAACTCGTCTCGTCTTCGCCGACGTGGATTCCATATCGCGCCCTACCTGCTCTCATCGTCCCTGATGGTTCTTTCACGATCCTGTCTCAACTCGAAATAGCTTTTCCGTAGATTCTTTTCTGCTATGCGGAAACGAACACCGGAGCTCTGCTTTCGTCATTGCTTCTCAAGCGCATTTCTTGGTCTTGAAGCTGTTCTGCCAGAACAGACTATCGCCAGTCCTACGTAGCGTTGCAATAGATTCGACGGAGAAAACAAGGGCGGTAAAATTCTACTAATTATTGTTTCGCAATAGATGTAATATCGAACGTCTCTAGGCTTCATCAAACATGGCGTCACCTGGAGCGATAATCATTACTAGAGCTCTTCTGCTCTCCACCGCACTCCTTTCCACGATTACCACTGGCGATACTACTATTACCAGCACCTTTGGTCGTTCGAATTCGATTCCTAGTACCAGCTACGTTGAGATATTTTCAAAGGCCTTCTCTAGACGTTTTCCTTACGGAGCCAGCGGCAGCGGAACACCTGATCTCCCTCTCGGTTCGTCACCCGTCCCGACAGCTATAGTAACTGACACCGCTGCAATAACACGTCCTAAATCGAATAAAATCGGATATCGTCTTCCGCGTCGCATGGCTGGCGCTCGAATCAGAATCACAGACAACCCGCAAGCAGAAAATCCTCAAGATTTTGTCGAAAAAACACCCCACTTCAGCCAGCAAAGACGAGCCGCCAGCTTCCAAGTTAACTTTGCCTCGACCTACTCCGCATGCACCACTTCCGCCACCGATGACGCTGTTGGGAGGTCCGCGCAGGGGTTACGTGCCTGTTAGGAGGCGGAATCCCAGCGGCGGTCTCCAATCGAGTCGCCAGATTAGCCCGAGTGACGGCACCCGCCACCGTCAACTGCGCGATCGCGACAGGCAGGCTGAGGAGGAGGATGGCGAGGCTGGCATGACCGAAGCTGGAGTGACCGAGGCTGGGCAATCCAAAACAAGCCCCGACCTGTACTATAACGGAGGGCCTGTTATCGCGGATCCGGTCGTCTACCTCATCTACTACGGCACGTGGCCTGAGAATTCCGGAGCTGCCATTATCGATAATTTCGTGCAGTCGCTGGGAGGGAACGCGAGCAGGCAGGGAGGGCCGAGGGGTGAGAGCAGCGTGAGCGGCTGGTGGGCGATCACCACGCATTACTTTATGACACGGGCTGACCGCAAGCTGGCGTACGTCACTCCTAAGGTGGGTGACTTCTTGTGACTCCTAAGGAGGTGGGGAAGAGGGTACCTTCTCCCCCCCATTCTCCCCTCCTTCCCCCTTTACTTTCCCTCAACCCCATGCATGTCTTCGTGCAATTCCCATCTGTCAGCAGCACCATGCGTCGCCCTCGACATCCATACTCCATTCCTAGCTCATCCCGATTTCATTTCCCTCCTCCCCTCCATCCGTACCCGTCTTTCCCTCCATCCATCCCGTTTCCTCCCTCCGAACCACTCTGCAGGTTCGGTTTGGAGGTTCGGTAGTGGATCAGGGCTCCATCGGCCATTCCTTCTCCGACACCGAGATTGCCAGGAGTGAGTCGTGTTGACTTCTATCTAAGTCGAAGCATTGAGAAAGCTTGGAGTGTGTTGCCGATCAGCCCTCCTCTGCCAACGCCTGTTTTCCCTCCGCTCTGCCTTTCCTCCTCCCCTCTGCATTCCTCCTCCGCTCTGCCTTCCCTCCACCGCTCTGCCTTCCCTGCTCGTCCTGCTGCAGACTCCACATCAAGCACCAAGAACGCTTGAAGAGTGTTGCCGATCAGCCCTCCTCTGACAACGCCCTGTTTTCCCTCCGTCCTGCCTTCCCTCCTCCGCTCTCCCTTCCTTCCTCGTCCTGCTGCAGACTCCGCATCAAAATCACCACATTCCCTGCGTCCCCTCCGGCCCAAGTGCCTTCGCCCCTCCATTTCAGTCCCCCCCCCCCCCGTCGTTACCATAGTTTTTCCCCATCGTCTCCTCCCCTCCTCTCCTCCCCCGTCTTCCTCTGGTCGTTAACCGCAATGTGGGCACGGCACGACCGACCAACCGGCTGCCGCACAACCCAATCGCTGCCACCAGAGACCCAATCGAAGGAGAAGGGTATGCGATTGGGTAGTACAGCTCCAGAGCTTCAAAACCTTCCCCTTCGTCTTCCCGACCCCGTTCCCCCGTCCCCCTTTCCCCCGCACTCCAGTTGTCGATCGCAACGTGGGCAAGGCCAACTGTCTGCCGTCCGATCCAAGGGGGGCCTACATCGTGCTCACGAGTGTTGACGTGCCCTCAACTTCACATGCCTTCTCACCCCCAACCTCCAGTTGTAGACCACAACGTGGGCAAGGCCAACAGATTGCAGTCCTCGTGTCTCCTCTGCTCGCCTCCGCATGCCCTGCCTTCACTCGTTTCCCGGTCTCTCTTCTTCCCCTTCCCTCCCCCTCCCCCACCCCCCCCAACCTCCAGTTGTCGATCGCAACGTGGGCAAGGCCAACCGGCTGCCGTCCGATCCGAACGGGATCTACATCGTGGTCACGAGTGCTGACGTGGATGTGTGGGAGTTCAGCCGCTGCAGCTACTGCGGGTGGCATGCACAGATGATGGACATGCGCACTGGCAGCCCCATAGCGTATGCATTTGTGGGGCACCACTCGCTGTGCTGCCAGTACAGCAAGTAAGTGTACCATTGCACTGTGCTCGTATTGCCAGTGGGTCACCACTCGCTGTGTGGCACCATTCCCTGTCTTGACAGTGCGGCTTATAAAGAGGACAGATGATGGGCATGCACACGGGCAGCCCCGTAGCATGCGCGCTCGCCGGCCACCACTCCTTCTGCTGTCCGTGCATGCAGCTCCTCCCCCAACGGGCTGCCAGCCATTGGGTTTTGAGACGTCTAAGAACTCAAAACTTTTGAGACGACTCAGACCTCAAAACTTCTGAGACGCCTCAGAGCTCAAAACTTGAGATGTCTCAGAACTGCCCGTTCATTCAGCTCCTCCCCCAACGGGCTGCCAGCCAGCCAGCCATGGACAGCATGGCGTGCAGAACAGCATCGGAACACCATGGTGATAGTTGCAAACCTTTTGAGTCGACTCAAAAGTGGGCTTCCCAAATATTGGTGGTCCCAAATATCGGGTAACACCATGGTGATAGTTGTGAACCCGTGGGCTTCCCAACTATCACCACTAAAGCTGCTGATGCTGACCCTTTCCTTTCCTCCCTGCCCACCACCATGCTCCTCCCCCTCCACCCCCATTCCCGCCTGGCAGCTCCTCCTTCAACGGGCTACCAGCCATAGACAGCATGGCGAGCACCATCGCTCATGAAATCACTGAAGCTGCTGACTGGGTGACGCCTCCTGCCTGCTAGACCCCCCTGCCCACTCCCATGTCCCCCTCCCTCCCACCTCCCATCCTCCACTTGCAGCTCCTCGGGCTACCAGCCATAGACAGCATGGTGAGCACCATTGCCCACGAAATCACCGAGGCTGCTGCTGACCCCTCCTGCCTGCTTAACCCTCGCATTTCCCTGCCACCCCCCTGTCCCTCAAATCCCACCCCATCCCACCCTGGCCGCTCCTCCCCTAACGGGCTGCCAGCCATAGACAGCATGGTGAGCACCATCGCCCATGAGACGACAGAGGCCACCACCGAGTACACTGGGCTGGGCTCTCCCCGCGACCACCACCACTGAACCTCTACCCATTTCCTTCCCCATTCCCCATCCCCATCACCCTGGCAGCTCCTCCCCCAACGGCATGCCAGCAATAGACAGCATGGTGAGCACCATCGCCCACGAGATCACTGAAGCCACCACCGATCCGGACATTTCCTCGGGCTGGTTCGACGCTTCCGGGCAGGAAAACTCCGACAAGTGCGGCTCCTTCTACGGGCAGCCGGAAGAAATAAAACGCGCCAGCGGCCCCAGCAGCAGCACCAGCGGCGGCAGCAGCAGTGGTACCAGCAGCAGCAGCGGTAGCACAACCAGCAGCAGCAGCCGCCACAGGGAGAACGCGTTTTTCAAATCCAACTTTGCAGCCCCTCAGAGCGATGAGTACGAGTACGAGTATAACATGGTTGGTAACCACGGCATGCGTTACATGGTGGAGGGCAACTGGGATATACTCACACGCATGTGCCAGATCCAAGGAAAGCCTCACGACCCTAGGTCCACCGAACCTGAACGGCTGGCTCCGAACCAGGATTTGGTTGGAGGTTCGACAGAAGGCGGATGGAGAGCGTCGTTTTTAAGTGATTTCGCCGCTACAGGTTCCGCAGCCCTTAGTTCTGCTGCTCCAGGCTCGGAATATATTGTCATCCCTCCTGACGATGGCGACAGCATCGGATCCCTGCCCCCTCCCAGCTCTGCCGCCCCAAGCTCAGCCGCCCCAAGCTCTGCTGCCCCAAGCTCTGCCGCTCCAAGCTCCGCTGCTCCAAGCTCTGCTGCCCCAAGCTCTGCCGCCCCAAGCTCCGCTGCTCCAAGCTCTGCCGCCCCGAGCTCTGCCGCCCCAAGCTCTGCTGCCCCTAGTTCGGAGTATGGCCCAGGTTCGGAATATGCCCCAGGCTCGGAGTATGGCCCAGGTTCGGAGTACGCCCCAGGCTCGGAGTATGTGTACTACCCACCTGGATCTGAAGGCGAGATTGGCTCATTGGCTTCTCCCAGCTACGCCGCCCCTAGTTCCGCCGCCCCTAGTTCCGCTGCCCCTAGTTCCGCCACCCCTAGTTTTGCCGCCCCTAGTTCTGCCGCCCCTAGTTCTGCAGCCCCTAGTTCCGCCGCCCCTAGTTTCGCCGCCCCTAGTTCTGCCGCCCCTAGTTCTGCCGCCCCTAGTATCTCCGCCCCTAGTTCCGCCGCCCCTAGTTCCGCCGCCCCTAGTTCCGCTGCCCCTAGTTCCGCCGCCCCTAGTTCTGCCACCCCTAGTTCCGCCGCCCCTAGTTCCGCCGTCCCTAGTTCTGCAGCCCCTAGTTTCGCCGCTCCTAGTTTCGCCGCCCCAAGTTCCGCCGCTCCTAGCTCCGCCGCCCCTAGTTCCGCGGCCCCTAGTTCCGCCGCCCCTAGTTCCGCGGCCCCTAGTTCCGCGGCCCCTAGTTCCGCCGCCCCTAGTTCTGCCGCACCTAGTTCTGCTCTTCCAAGCTCTTCCCCTCCCAGCAATGCTGCCCCCAGTTCTGCTGCTCCCAGTTCAAATAGGGCACCTGGCTCGGAAAATGCACCAGGCTCGGAAGTTGCACCGGGTTCAGATGCAGCACCTGGCTCGGAAACAGCGCAAGGTTCGGAATTGGCCCCTGGTTCGGAAGCAGCTCCTAATTCGCAGGTTGCTCCAGGTTCGAACGGTGCTCCGGGATCAACTAATGCACCAGCCTCAGAAAATGCTCCAGGCTCTGAAAATGCTCCAGGCTCGGAAAATGCTCCAGGCTCGGAAGAGGCTCCAGGCTCGGAAGAGGCTCCAGGCTCGGAATATGCTCCAGGCTCAGAAGATGCTCCAGGCTCGGAGAACGCTCCAGGTTCAGAAAATGCTCCAGTCTCGGAAGAAGCTCCGGGTTCAGAGAATGCTCCAGGCTCGGAAGAAGCTCCAGGCTCAGAGAATGCTCCAGGCTCGGAAGAGTCTCCAGGCTCGGAAGGATCTCCAGGTTCAGAGAATGCTCCAGGCTCAGAAGATGCTCCAGGTTCAGAGAAAGCTCCAGGCTCAGAAGATGCTCCAGGTTCAGAGAATGCTCCAGGCTCAGAAGATGCTCCAGGTTCAGAGAATGCCCCAGGCTCAGAAGAAGCTCCAGGTTCAGAAAATGCTCCAGGCTCGGAAGATGCTCCAGGTTCAGAGTACGCTCCAGGCTCGGAATATGCTCCAGGTTCGGAGTACACTCCAGGCTCAGAAGATGACCCTTATGCTCCAGGGTCGGAAGGTGCTCCAGGTTCAGAAGCTGCTCCAGGCTCGGAATATGCTCCTGCTCCAGGCTCGGAATATGTTTCTGCTCCAGGCTCGGATTATGCTCCTGCTCCTGGCTCCGAGTATGCTCCTGGCTCGGAGTATGTTCCACCTATTGAAGACCTCCCACCTGATTTGGAGCCTGCTCCAAGCTCCGAGGATGGACCTGGTTCAGAATATTATCCAGGTGGATCAGATTCATTGAGTTACGCACCTGGATTCGGAGATTCTTCAGGTGGATTGGATTCAGGGAGTAACGCACCTGGGTTCGGAGACTATTCAGATGGATCGGATTCAGGTAGTTACGCACCTGATTTTGGAGATTTCGCGAGTGGATTAGATGCAGGGAGCAATGCACCTGCATTCAGAGATTATTCGGGTAATCTGGATTCAGGAAGCAGCGCACCAGAATTTGGAGATTATTCAGGTGGATCGGATTTAGATAGCTACGCGCCTGGAGTGGGAGAATATGCGGGTGAGAGTCTTTGAAATCTAGGCAGCCGAGACCTGATGAGCTTTCGGAACCACTCTTTCATTACTAAGAGAATAAGGACGGATTCACGTCTTTGCACTCGATAGCTTCCTGCATTTCAGCTCGTATATCACATGCGGTGTTGTTCTGATATGGCTATGGATGGTGGCATATGGTTCTGCTACTAAGAATCTGCTCACAGCGTTCCTAGCATAGTGACAGCTGTGGAAAATACTGTGGGTGGGATGTGATGTGAACAACCAACAGGCTCAGTTTTCTTCCCTGAACCCTACCCAACCGTTCTTAAATGTGCGGAAACACAGTGATACGAAGCATTTTCCCTAACCTCAGTGAATCAAAACTGGAAGTGTCATGTCTATGTTCAAGGGGAAATGAGGAGTTACCGAAGTCCAGAATATTTAATGTTTATTTATATAGTCACCAAGAGTTAAATGTTTGAGGTGTTCATATTGGCTTCACACGGCCTCGTAGTGAGTACAATAATGGAACCAGCCAGTGACCTTGGACGTGCGCGCTTCGTGAAGTGCTGCTTCCTTCCCATAAGATTTTCGTGACCTCGAGTTACTTTCTCCTTCACTGTCTTGTTCGCGACATTCGCCCCAAACCACCAAATGTTGAACTTTTGCGACAAGCACAGCACACCCCTACCCGAATAGTTGGTGAGGGGGGGGGCAAGCAGCATTTTCTCCCATCCCCAACAAAAATGGCGCGAAAACGGGCTGTGTGATCTGTGGAAATGGCACCGCCCAGGGCTCCTCCAACCAACATCGTGTATTCGTAGGTCAAGCTCTTGAGAGCAAGAGAGAGGAGAGGGGGAAGTGAGCACTGAGCAGAGGCAAAAGCATGTAACACCAGCTGTGCTTGCGCGAATTGGAGTTAGGTCGAATCGAGTTGAGTCTCGAAGTTAGGTCAAGTTATAGTCTGGTGTCCAGGACTACGGCCATAGAGTTGAATAGCGCCCAGCTACTTCTGAAAGAGCATTTCCCGGACTGTTTATTCACACGCATTGTTATCCATGCACGAATGCTAGCCCAATGCGCATTTGCGACAATGGTAACATGACTAGCATTATCGCAAGGTCTAACAGTCTCGCGCCAATGTCCGTCTAGCTTTTAGCTCAATACACCATTTCGCATATTTTTTTATCGCGACTAACAGAAATGGCCCACAGGTTTGGCTCAAGTCGTTTAGAGAGGCGAAACAGTATCGCGGACGACTCGGACCCATGCGCGGGCGACGGCAACGGGCAGGGGCGCTACGGCCAGGGGGAAGTCGGCTGGTGCGGCTCGCTCTTTTCGCGCGCACCCAAGCGCGGCGGACCCGCGGGCCGCTTGCGCGGGTTCACATGGGACCCGTGGCGGAATGATTCGGGGAGCGGCGGTGGCGGCGGAGGCGGAGGCGGAAGTAGTGGCTGGGGATGGGGAAGCGGAGGCGATGGCAACATGTCACCGCGCTCTCCGCGCACTCCCCGCACTCCGCGCTCCCCGCGCGCGCCGATAACCCCTCGCAGACGCCGGCACGATGGCAGTTACCGACCCGGCACGCCGTCCCATCGTCCTGGCTCTCCTTATAAGAACGCGCCGCCATATTTCCTCGGCGGGCAACCCCTCGCCTCCGTGGCCGCTTCTGGGTCATACGATCCTGCTAACGGGGGATCGCTTCCCGACGGAAACAGCGGCGGGTTTTGGGGAGGTGGTCCGGCGCTGAGCGCGTCCCGGCGAGCGGGGCGGCAGCAGGGAGGCGGCAGAGACGGCGGCAAGGGCGGGGCAGGGGGTTTCCTGGTGATGAGCGATTGGCTGACGTGTTCGTTACAGTCCCTGCTACAATCGCGTATGGAGCAGCTGAATGCGTCGGAACAGGTGAGCCGGCGGCAGCTGATGGCGGAAACTGCGGAGATGGTTCTCAATGTGCTCGACGCGCGTTCCTCAGACGATGCGCTCGCGCATCGCTCCGAAGTCTCCGCGCTGCGCCGCCTCCAACGGGAGTCGTTCAGCGACCTATTGCACCTTCGCGACCGGCTCACGCGGCTCGAGCTCCTCGCGGACGAGTTCTCCCTCGGCCAGCACCGCGTCGCGCCCGCCGCGTTCCTCGCCGCAAACTCCGGCCGCACCGAGGTCTCGGGCCGCATCACCATCGGGTCCGCGCTCGTCCCAACAGGCGGCCTCCGCTCGCACCGCTCCCGAGCCGCGATGGAAGCGGCGGGACTGCGCTCCGGCGTGCAGATGGCTTTAAATCTCGCGTCCCTCTGCCGGTCGTCGGACCGCCTTAGTACCGTTCTAGGAGTCGGGCCGCCGGACCCGCTAGGCCCGGCATTAGCGCTAGGCGGCCCGGTGGTGCTGCAGAAGGCGGTGTATCGGGCGCAGGTGGCGGAAGGGTTGGCGGTGACCGCCGCGCCGATGGGCGCAAGCGGAGCGGACCTGGTGGGGGAAGGCTCCGTGGGGGCGGGAGTGCGCGGAGATAGTGCATCGGCTCAGGTAAGCTGACTAGCACGCACCTACGTGTTTCTGATTTCTATCCGTTATCGGCTTTGACATCCTCGTCTCTCTTCCTTGTTCCGTTATCCTTGTCTAAATCAAGCCTCTTTTTTTCCCTGTTCTTCCCGCTCCTCCCTGTCTTCCTATTGGTCGCATATCCGAAGCAGCCACGTGGCCTCACCACGTTTAGCAGCGGCACGATCCCGCTCCTCCAATCCATCCGCGGGTCAGCCCTCGCGGTAACCGTCGACACGCCCGTCCCCGCGCTTTCCCCCTTCCTGCCCGCGGTCTCCCGCGCTCTTTCCGCCATTCCGCGCGCGCTTCCTCCATCCATCGCCCGCGCCCTGGGCCTCCGCTCCTCGCGCCAATCCCCGTACACCCCCCTCCGCCCCTCCTCCTCCCGCTCCGCTTCCGCGGATCCGCCCGCGCTGTCGTTTACTGCGGGAAAGCTAGTCGCGGGGTGGGGGGTTCCGCTGGAAGATCCTTCCGCGCTCGCCGCCGCCGCGGCGGATACTGCGCTCTGCACCTCCGCCATGGGGCATCTTGCGCTCCGCTTTTCCCCCACTCTGCGCGTTTCCGCCGCCGCCGCGTCGCACTCGTGGCCCGCGCCGCCCGCGCCGTCCTTCCCCGGACTGCACTGGTCAGA